ATGGTTTAAAAGAGCTAAGAGTGGGCTGTGACTTAGTGCTCAAAGGAAAGCTGTTACAGGAAACGGAACCGCGATATTGAAAATTTCGTTTGCCTGCTTCGGTACTAGGTCTAGGAACGAATTTTTGAATTTCTTAGATTGTGCGAGTGGACACTGGATGTAGCTTCAAAAATACTATTCAGACGAGTCGGAGAAAGATTATGGAGAGTCTTAAACATAATAATTGCTAGTTGCTTCGAACGCCTTCGCTCCAGAGAGTCCCAGCCAAGGTCATCGAGTAAAACGGAAGATCTAACATTTAAGTCAGAGAAAGTGATTAGACGCACGGTTCTATAGTTTGGAGTTTTTGGAGTCTCTCAGATTGACAAACATCAATACTGCCCCATACGGAGCTGCAATAGTCAAAATATGGTTGGATTAGAGCGTTATAGATCATGATAAGAGTCTCGCGAGGAACCAAGTTCCTAACACGTTTGATGGCCCCGAGGCCCGCGGATACTTTCTTGACAATATTGTTTATATGGGAGTCCCATGATAAGGTCTCATCCAAATCAATACCAAGATACTTGTAGATTTTAGCTCTTTCTAGGGAGTGTTTGTCAATCTTAAAGTCAAACTGTAATCCAACGAGACAAATAAAGGGAATATTTGTAAACACTATGAGCTGCAAAGTTTGATGTGCATTAGCCGTGAATTTTCTGTTACGACTGTCCCTTCCTCCGGGATCCCTCTTGTGCGTCTTCGTTCTGTCAACAATTATTTTTTCAATAGCAGTGGTATACAGCTGTATACGAGATATTTGTTTGTTCCGTGGGGGTAATCCCTGAAATTTTTGGTGGGGGTGTGCGGCCTGCTTCTTGAAACCCTTACCCTACTTCAGACCAAAATATGTGATTTTCCATACCCTATTTCAGACCTGATCCGATAATCGATACCCTATTTCAGACCTATAAAATTAGTACACGTGTCTAATACATGACTTCAGCTACCCAGGAATAGGTTCTATTTGCGCAAACATTTGAAAAGGGCTTCAGATTCCCCGATATTTCGTCTAAAAGCCAAACCAAATTCCAGACCAGAGTGCACAAAACATACCCTGTTTCAGACCAAAACGGCTCAAAAACCATACCCTTTGGTGTGGCACATACCTATATAGCTTATATAAGGGAGTACCCCTCCCCACCTCCGGGTTGTTTGTTTACTATTTTTTCATCAAAATTATCCTTAAGTATTGTTTACCGTGACAGAGTATTTACATTACAATGATTATAAGACGCTTACAGCAATTGTGGTGACAGTTTGCGATACCTTTGTTATCGCCTGAGAGGCCAAATATCTCAGTCTCATCACTTAAAGTCATTTCAAATTACTTAGCACGTGCTCAATGACATTTTTCACTCAATTCCTGCCCGTCATAGCAGTTTTTCCTTCTCTTCAACCCAAACCGGCAAAATTTGCTATAAACCTATGCCGGCTATAAATCTTAAGGGAATCTCTTTATAAGAATCGTACAAAGTGGGAAAGGAAAATTTTGCAGCCCTACCAAATTCTGTGTTGAGGCAGGTGTTTAGGTTATATAGAATACTTGATGGAAAGTGCGCGCGCGCGTACGGTATGATACGCGGCTCCTGATTGGTCGTATCATTATTCTTCACACGTAAAAAGCGATACGCGTCATTTGATTGGCTTACACCTGCTTACACCAGCTTGCGAACGAACATTTACTTCGCCGCTTTTCAGTGCTCTGTATCTATATATTAAAACCTTTTCAGACCGGAGAAGAGGTTGGGCGGATCTACCCCTCGGACTTTAAAGTCACATTACTGTTACATAATTTGCTGCGTCAAACTCGCGCTGTAATTGGTTCAGCACTGTCATCTATTCGAGTACAGACGCATGAATGACGTCACGAATGGCGGGGGAAAACGTGCGCCCCGCTCCAACACGAATCCTTCGCATCGCCATTTCAAAACAGAGAAATATTTTCATCAAAATGGAAATATTCCGTAGGAAATTCATTGTAGATCGATTAATACGAATTTTAAATCGGCTGTTTATAAGCTTGGCTAAAACTTTGAAGCAAACGCGATGGACTTTTAGCTCATTGTGAAAATAATCTATATTCATCGTACATCATTAATTGTGTGTTCAACGTCTTCTCGTCCTACACCGCCATCATGTTGAACATTTTAACAATCCACGCTTGGAAGAAAAACGCCGTCATTTACAAAAGCATTAAAAACCTTGCTCCTGAGTTTTTTCTGTTTCCGGCGGACCTTTGTGCTGGCTTACTGGTTCAACCTTTGTACATCGCAAGGCTGGTCACGTGGCTACAACAAAACACTGAAGACATTACCCTGAGGCGCACCGCGTTTGTCATCATCTTAATATATTTTGTTACGCTTCGTGCTTTGGTGTTATGGCTTTGAGTATAGAACGTTTATAATAATAATAATATTTATATAGCGCCAAATCCACTAATTGCTCATGGCGCTTTACAATAAAAACATATTAAAAAAGATTTAAAAAAAAACAACAATAAAAACGGAGTAAAAATACATTTAGTTAAAAATAGGTTCTTGGCTATTAGGTTCTTGGTTCTTGGCTATTCGTCGTCCGGCATCTCAGATAACAGAAACATGTGACTCACAAGCGTGTTGTTGCTGTGGTGATATCAATATGGCCGTTCAGTATAGTTTCTATCGTTAATTGTCTGGTGGCTTCAAGACATCCAAGACAAGATTATCTGCTTTATTATCGAAATCATCATTGTAAGTCTCTGTTTAGTAGCACAACAATAATTTATTTCAAGATTTATTTAGCTGTACGACACCATAGAAACCGAAAAGCCCTTTTCACGGATAACCTGAAATATTTGCATAACAATACAGCTAAACATAGAAGCGAGGCAATTTCGGGCACAAGCTGTAAAACATCGTGATTTTTTTGAGCTCCTTAAACTATGTTAGCATAAAAATAGTTTTAAAACGGAGAAGAACTAAATATACAACTATTTTAGTTAAAGTTTGCCGTAAAGATCGTAATCCGATATCCCTGTTGCTTATGCGAGTCTCCTCTTTATTAATCGAGAAAAGTCGTTTTACAATTTTTTCTAAAAACAACATAAACTAAAAGTTGTAGTTATTCTACATTTTAAAACTGTTTTTATACTAAAAGAGTTGAAGGAGTTTAAGAAAAATACGATGTTTTGCAGCTTGGGCACGAAATTGCCTCGCTTCTATGTTCAAGTGTATTGTCATGCAAATATCGCAAGTTAACCGTCAAAAGGGCTATTATATTGATAAAGACGGGTCACGTGACAAATCATGTGACTCGCTCACGTATTCAAAATATCTTAAGAAAATATTTTTTGATTGCGTTTGTATTTTTAACGATACAAAAATATAGAAAAAGAAATAGCGTCTGTATTGTATTTCATCTACATACACGTACGTTTTTTTGTGTTGACATTTTGCTAGTTATTAAATTTAACATCCTTGCAGTGGACACGTGTGCATTTCCCGCCCGATTATTCCCACCAAAATCTTAGCAGCAGGGTTTGTTGCGGGCGCGAAAGTCTGAGTGAAACTGTGAAAGGGCTTTCATGTCACTGAAACTTGGGAATTATTTCTCAAAAAAACTTTCAATTCGATCTAGTGGGTAAATTAATGCAAATGATGCAACGAAGCAATTAAGTTGGCAACAAAACCATGTTGTGGATCCTAAGCAGACAAGTTAACGATCAACAGATACCCAGCTGGATAGGGTTTAACATCAAGACGAGGGACCAAGTGGCCCTATCCCAAGATGTCATCCAGTACCTCCCTACGATAAATGCCCCCGCTAGCGCCTTAACAACTGTGTTTGAAGTCTTGAACCAGTCCGAGGAGATAAGAAGGAAGCTGTACTTAAACACAATCGTCGTTGTCATGGACCAGGCGTTGTTCGCCAAAGCATGTGAGATTACTTGGAAGGAGGAATGCTTTTCCAATATTATCCTGAGAATGGGGACATTTCATGCAATCTGTAACATGTGCTCAATTCTTGGTAAGCGGTTTGGTGACGGTGGCTTGAAGGATACTCTAATATAGTCTCAGATAGTGGCAGAGGGGTCAATTAATGGCGTCCTTGATGGTAAGCAGTATAATCGAGCTTTTAGAATCTATCGCCCTTGTAAACACATGTATCCAGAAAAGTTATTTCTTCATCTGAAATCTCAGCCGTGAATTTTATGGTCGGATGGAAGTTATAAAGCTTTAAAACTCTTAAAGCTTTATAACTTCCGAAATATTGTACATTTCATCAAACGCATGCTACAAGTTGTCGATATTGACGTTCTTCAGCAAATTCTAAAGTAATAATTTGAAAACGATCAAATCCTTCCGAGTTTTTAGACATTTTTCATTTTGGTCACGTGACACACCAAATTTGGGCATGGTTCGAAATATTTAAAGGAAACGTGAATTGAACAAACACTACAACGTTTGATGCCCACTGGAGTCCAGGAACCAAAGTTATGGAGGTTTAGAGATTTCCTTAGCAACATTTTTGTGGTTCCTTGTAGTTTAGGTTCTCCCCCCTTAATGTGATGATGAATATATACAGCTTATTCGATGGTTTAACATATAATACGCGCGGATATTTTGCGAGTTGCGTAGTATTTTTCCGAGCCCCGGGCGAGGAAAAATGCGATCAATGAGCAAAATATCCGCTCGTATTATATGTTAAACCATCGAATAAGGGATTTATTATTCTATTGCAAAATTTCCCGACTATTTATATGCTATTCTCCGTATTCGCTCTGTTCAACTAGTCAATACCGTGGCATATTTTACGTGTTCTCGTGACCTTATATGGTGAAATGACGTAAAAGTAGAATAATAAATAAATGAAATCATATATATATATATGAACTGCGGAAATGGAATGAAATGAATATGATCATCGCAGTTGTGAATGCAATTTAAGCAATTGCAATTTTTAAGCCAGAAAAAAAATTCTGGCTTCAATGGGATTTGAACCCATGACCTCCGCGTTACTACTGCGTTGCTCTACCAACTGCCGGGAGCTATGAAGCCACACGTTGGGAGCAGGTCAATTGTGAGTTTATACACCCATGATAGGAATGAATAATGTGATGATGAATATATGAATGAAAAAATGTATATATATGAACTGCGGAAATGGAATGAAATGAATATGATGATCATCGCAGTTGTGAATGCAATTTAAGCAATTGCAATTTTTAAGCCAGAAAAAATTCTGGCTTCAACTGGATTTGAACCCATGACCTCCGCGTTTTCCTAGCAAAATTTGATGACTTTGATGGTTAACTGTATCAAATGCCTTAGCAAGATCCAAAAATGCACCAATAGTATATTTTTTGTTATCTATTGAATGTAATATTTTCGTCACAAGCTCCAATGTTGCTAAGTTGGTAGAGTGTTTTTTTACGAAAGCGATATTGGTTGAATTGTGAAAAAGGATCTTGTGTTTATCAAGGAACTTCATAATTCTCTTATACAAATGTCTGTTCTATTTAAGCAATAGACCGCACTTTCTATGGGTTTACAGTGTGATAAACCCACGCGGGATGTTGGGAGAACACGAGAAAAGCTTGTGAATCACGAGCCGTTAGGCGAGTGATTTACAAGCTTTTCGAGTGTTCTCCCAACATCCCAAGTGGGTTTATCACACTGTAAACCCATAGAAAGTGCGGTCTATTGCTTTTATGAAATAGCTATAAATAAAACAAAGTTTTGTGGGTGAAAACATAGCTTTTAATATTGTGATCAAGTTGTGTCTTCTCTATACATTCATTGAGGACGCACGCTAGCCAATCATAATGAGCGATCTAATTGTGAACTATGGCGTCGAAGAAAGAATCAACCGCCGAATTTAATACTTCGTCTCACATTGTTTAACATTCAAAACTATAAATTTACAGAGAAAAATATTTAGCTATGTGAAAGCCAATCTTTAAACGGTACTTGAAAGAAAAGCAACACGACAGTCATCGGTTGAAAGTGATGTAGACATTTTCAATCGTGTACGTATTAAACATCTGACTGTATGCAGCTGAGCTTGTGTTGTGCTGAGCGGAGATGGTGTTTACTGGCAGCTGTTGCAGAGGAGGCCTCATTTTCCCACTTTCGTATCTCACAATCGCATTCTGAGGCTGGTCAGATGTCTGGACCCTGTCAACATCACCCAGTGCGGTGGAGAGGATGTCGCTGCAGTTGCGAAGTTGATTTACCGACGGCATGCTGTGATAGCTTTGAAGGCTCGACTCGTTGCGATGACTAGATATTGCCATAATTGCCCGATTTGTTAGGCCAGCATTTGCCCACAAGGTTATCGCTGTCGCTCTCACCGAGTGATTTGTATAAACACGGGAAAGACCTGCAGCGGAGCTGTTATCTTTCATAAGGTTGACAGCTTGTTTATGCCGAGGGGCCGGTTTTCGTACCAGATCTTGTCAGAAGGTCGCCAATTTCTTTTTGGATACTGGAATAGTGCCTCACACTCAGGATTCAGCTTGGAAAGAAAAATTTCCAAAGCGGAATATCCATCGGATGGACTGTTGGTCTTGTACATACGAGCGTTCTTCTCGTAGCTTTCCACGTCAGAAACTCCTCCTGGGTGGTTTTTGGTCATCTCATCGTGTGACATTGTGACAAAATGGTCGCCTTTCGCGTCTTCGCCAAACGCAAAACTACTTTTCTTCAGACTTCGCTGGCCTTCAAAACCACGGCGGCAACAGAAAAGCGAAATGTGGAACCAAACATTTCTTAGAAGAGAAAGGGGCTGGGTAAGTGAAAAAATGTCACCACTTTTCGAGATCTTCTAGCTCGATAGCCGGTTTATGTGTAGTGTTTTGTAAGCCGTCTTTCTTCAGTTGTTTAATTTTGGCATCCAACATTTTGTTTGATAGTACAAACTGGGGATTGTTGGTGAGGGAAATGCCAAGGTTGTTTGGAGGCGTGTTGAGGAATCTTTCAATTCCATTTCTTAGAGACATCAGTGTTGCTCTGCTGTAATTTTCTCCCTCTCTGTTACGCGCCTCCGCGTAAAACTTCCGCAGGTTTTCGTCCAGCTCAGCAATTGACATTTCAGCCAAACTGATACCGATTTGTTTATGCTAACTCCACTCTACAGAAAAAAAAGGTTAAGTATAAATTAGCGGAGCACTGGGTGTTACAAAATTCAACTTAATTAAACGAGAATTTCGTATTTTGTTTTTACAAATACGCTGTAAAACTGATTAAGGTTTATTTTCGTGGAGGAGATGTTTACGTGACCTTCCTTTGACCTTTATCAAATTTTTTTTTTATTTCACAGTTTTGCTGCGTTAAATGTTCGGTTCAAATGTCGTTTCTATGTGATGTTGAATGAAAGTAGATTCTTATTATTGAAACCAACCTGTAAAAACTGAAACAGCCCATTGGGTTGCCTTTTTGGTCTTTGCAGCCTGCGAATTTGTCACGATCTCGTCAAGTTCTTGGGTTTCCATATCGGCAAATCGTCTCTTTTTATTCGCCCCTTCTAAGTCGTTGTTTTTGTTTGTAGACATGGTCTCGGACACAGCTGGAAATAGGAGACCAGAAGCCAACATGATGTTAAAGCTCGGAAATTCCTCCTCCAAGGCGGCCATTTTTATCAGGCTGGAGAACGTTTCAGCTCTCCGTTTTCAATGGGTTTACCATGTGTTTACCGGTACAATAGTCAATAGGTTTTCGACCAATCAGAGCGTGCGTAGTATGACAGTTATTTTATAAAATCTGTTAAGTTTTCCGATGTTGTTGGTAAGCAAACTATTTTTTTGTGACTGATGCAAACCAGTAATATAACCATTCAGCGGCCCATTCATAAATTTCGTATTTCGAAGTGGTCCTTAAAAGATTCTAAGACATGAATGACCCTTTTAGCTCCTTTTACTAAATCGTATTGTTCAGGGAATAAACATGTATGTACTGAGTAGGTCACTGTTATGGCAATTGTGTTGAATAAGAATTATTGATGAGTGAATAGTAGAGGCTCCAGGGTTTATTTGACACATTGAAGAACGAACTATCAATGCAGGGTATAGTTTCCTATAGTAAATCAAATACTCTTCTACACAATATCGAAAGGAATAAATGGAGGATTCCAGCGTCGAAATTTCTAAATACTAGGAAAATTAAAGTTGCTTTAGTTTGATGTTTTAAGGGCTGTTTTACCTGGCGATACGTCGTATGTATCAATGATTTATTATCTTCTGACTGACCCTGCAAACAGAGCTTCCTTTACCGTTTTCTCTTCGGTGCAAAGGAACTGTGAACCTGTAGATATAATAGAAATTGGAGCGAGTCACAGGAGTTTTTCCTGTTAAAAACCATTATTTTATGTGCGCGGCTATAATTTTATCAATAAGTTCATCGCATCGTGACCAGGACATGCATCGAAATGATTCAGGTCAAAAAATGTTGGTGGTATGCAAATAATTGTGAGATCAGCGTAAAGCATATCCGGCGCTGAGATCTTCTCCAGGGAAGATTCACTGCCGATTAATTGGTCAAATAAAATACAATAATTATTAATGTGGTGGAGATCCTGTTATCTTCTAGAATTTAAAGTGCCTATAACCCCCAAAACTTTTTTTGTTCTAAAAAATCTATACATTTTTCTGAGCAGAACGCCGAAAAGAAAAATCTTTTTGGTTGAAACCGCGATTTTTTATGAATTTTCAAAGTCTCGGAAAATCGCATTATTTAAAAACATGACTGAGTAGCAGAACCATATGAAATTACTGGATCTAGCCCAATTCGTGACGTCATTCCAGGCCATCAATCGATCGCTCGCGAACCTTGAGTCAGTGTCTTCGTTCTGAGCTAGAAATGCGTGCAAAATTGAGCCGAGCCGTTGTTTGCCGTTGCCGTTGCTCTTAGCACTTCAGAGATCAATATTTCATGGTCAAGTTTACTGGGTTGATCGATCGGCGAGTCTGCAGCGAAGATTGAGTAAAGATGAAATTAGAGTTTCTGTCTTTGTACAAATTATTATAAAGCTTATAAGGACAGGACTTCAATTTGCTTCGTTCGGGTTCCAGAATTTTCGTAGAATTCAAGGTAATAATTTATTCTTGCTGAACCAAAATATTATCTTTGTTAAGATGCATTAAGCGATTCTAGTACAGTGAGCACGGCTGATTTAATTCAGACTAATTTGCTCAGTCTGTTTATACAGTGTTTATACTACGCGAACAATCCGGCGACACATTTCATTTGTTTATACTTTACTGATCTGGCGACATCAAAGGAGGACAGATTCTCACCGAAAAAATTCGACATCTTCGGGCTTTAGCATTATTTCATGAAACTGCTAAGCTAAATCATTTAAAAGCAAAGTAAGATATTCCCAATTGAATCGTAACTTCGAACAGAAGCTTCAGAAGATTACTGTCTGAATAGCGCACGGCTTCCGTACGAGTATCCACTGCAAATAACTCATACACGAGTCCAGACTTTCGTTCTAGAACTTCCATGCAAATACTTAAGCCAATTCAGTATTTTCCATTGTTGTTTAAACCTGTGAAGCGATTCTGTTCATTCAATTCAGCTGCGTGTGCCGTGTGAATGTCATAATTTCTCTGTTGAGCGACACCGCGTGGACTGGTGTTTATTTCGGCTCGCGGACGGTCTCTCGAGCAATTTACATGATAATCTTTCCCTACCTAGTTCATAATATTATATTTTTAACACAAGTTGTAAGAAATTATTTTTCAAGTATTCAAGCTACTTTAGTCTCGTGTTTGTAGAAGTGTCTTTGGGTTGCGTGACATTTCTGTGAGTTCGGCTCGATACAAAGCGTATAGACATAGCGAATTCATAGTCCGAATCAATTCCACAGCTCTCGTAAAAAATAGCGCAATGCATTAAACAAACGTATAAATATTTCAGGTTACCCAGAAAAAGTTATTACATTGACATTCTACGAAAATTCTGTAATACCCATAAAGATCAATTCCTCTGCTTTCCAGTTCAAAACTGGCGCCAATGGCCTGGAATGACGTCACTAGTCTCAGTCTCCCTTTGACTCG